TAGCAGCCCTGTAGTCTGAAACCCTGCCTGGGGCTGCGAGCCATTCGCACTGTGGAGGAGCATGAAAAAATGACGTGTGAATGGGTCGTTAAAATCCTTGCTCCAGCCTCCAGAGGCAGTGCTGAGTATGAACTTTAACACTCAAACACCTGCAGGTCCCCTCTTGGCTAAAATGAAAATAAATTCAAAATGGAGCTTTAGACATAATTATAGAATGAGTTACAGTGTATAAACAACAGTGGACCACCAAAATGTCCCCTGTTGGCTCATCAGATCACTGTCAGTGAGTGTGTAACTGGGTGGTCCACTGTTGGATAGGTGGACTGACACACACATACACACACACACACACACACACACGGAAACACAGAGCAGTACACTGCAGGCTAGCAGATTTGCAGAGGTTGTTCCTTTGTTGTGTGTAATCACTACCTGCTCATTCAAGCTCCACTCGTAAATAATATGTGATGGTGGGCTGTGTGTGCTGTGCGTGTCCGTGTGTGAATATGTGTGTGTGTGTGTGTTTGTGTCTGTTTTATTTTTAATGAGCTGAACCATTTTTAAAACCGTCCCAACTCGTTTTTTGGTCATGGCTGAAAAATGGCAAAACACGGGCCTTATTTTTGTGCTCAAATGAGACAAATGCCACAACATTTAGTAAACTGTTTTATTTAGAAAATTACTGTTTAGCCAACAAGTTTGAGACAAGTTTGTGAATAAAGTAACAGAGTAATTAGCAGAAACTTCAAACTTTTGAGTCTTAAACTTAGTGAGAGGTTTCAGCGTAAGTGTTTGGATTCTGGGTCTGAGGTCTCAGTAGCTTTCCTAGGACAGCTCTCAGTAGGATTCACTGGCACCGTAACATGATTTTCTTGTCTGGAGGGTGATGCTGTTTTTTGTAGAACAGCATGTGCTTAGTGTGTGTGTGTGTGTGTGTGTGTGTGTGTGTGTGTGTGTGTGTGTGTGTGTGTCAGTGCTCTTTATGGCTCGAAGGCTTTTCTTGCCTCTCCCGGCCTCCAAACTTGTATTTACTGCATAATTTGTCAAAAAACGCTTTCAGAAAAAAAGTTTTAGTGACAATATTTTAAATTATTTTGTGTTTATGTTGGCATATGAAATACAAACACTTTGCAGTTACACCAATTTTTTTCTTGCAGTAGCAAACACAACTTTTGGGACATTTTTATTTTATTGTTTATTTGTATAGGGACAAGTACAGAGCCCGAACCAATGCCACATAACACACAAATTATAGCCTAGGCAAATTTGCAATGCCTCACCCAGGTCAAAAACAGTTCAAATTTATCTGTTGCTCCAAAATATCTGAAAATCTGTACAAAACCCAAACCCGCTGATGAATGTAGCTCATTGTGAGGCCTCTGTGTTGCCACGGTGAAGTTGAGGTTGTCAAACACATGCAGGCACACATTCCTGCTGACATATAACATGAACATTGTTAAGTTTACTGTTTAACTCATGCACAGAAAGCTTTGTAGAGTTTTATAATTGTATCTCATTAACTACTGTGCAGTGTTTTATCGTCTGACAAACCTTAAAGGGAGAGTTTTACAGTGTGGGGAATGGGCTTATTCGCCTTCTTTCCATGAGATAAATGGGGAGATCAATACCACTGTCCTGTCTGTGAGCTAAATGTGAAGCTACATCCATCAGCTTGTTAGCTTAGTTTAGCATAAAGACTGGAAATAGCTAGTCTGGCTCTGTCCCAATGGTAAAATGTCTGTAATGTAAAACAAGTTTTTGTGCCCGGCCAAGAAATAGTCCTGCTCATCACCCCTCATAAAATCATAATTTGTTTTAAATACACTTAAAATATATATAACATGTTAATGAGCTTTAGAGGTGCTGGTAGATGGATTTTGTAACTTGGTGGTATGGTGGCTTGATGTACCTTCATATTTAACAGACAGACATGAAATTTTCTCATCCAAGTCTTGAAAAGAAAGCAAATGAGCATATTTTAGTTTTTAACTTTTCCATGTATAAACCCCATGTACGTATATTCATTCCTCTGGGATTACATTTCGCCTTCTCACTGGTGCCTGCAGCAAAACACGGTGCCGTTTTCTACGTCTAAATGTCTGCTGTTGACTTGATCTGCTGTCAGTGTTGGACTCCACCTCTTATCTGAGTTGAATTTTTGGGTTTCAGTATAAGAAGATAGAACTGTGTATATTTTTGTGTTTGAATTTAGAGCTCAGCTAGCCTCCATCACCTTTTCTGCTCATCCTAAAATCCTCTCGGGATGGTTGTCGTGATTACACACTCCCCTGTACAGAGTGCCATCAGCAGCACATGAAATCCGTTCAGCGGGTCATTATCCCCTGCTGCTGCTAATGATGTTGGTAGTTGGTGTGTAACTACTTAGGTGTAGGCTCCCGAGTTAATCAATGCTGGACAGAGAAACAGACATAAACCCACACACACTCACAGAATAGTAGCCTAATTTGAGAGATTTTTTTTTTCTTCCCTATGAGGCGGTTGAGTCATACTGTACATGTCATCGGGCCGAGTGACTGCTGCAGGTTAGCTGCCTTGTTAATCTGAAGGCATACGGGGTAGAAAGAGCATCTTCTTCGCTTTTTATCTCTGCTGCTGCTGCTGCTGCTGCTGCTGCTGGATGAGTCAGCCACTCGGGTTCCCCCGCTCTAACGCGGTCTGGGCCTGTGATAAGGGCTTTTCCTGAGAGCCAATCTATCTGCAAGGTAGATGCGATCAGGGAGGCAGAAAGGGAGAAGCAGATAGACAGAAGAGGCAGGGGAAAGGAGAGGAACGAGAAAGAGAAATGAAGATTGTCAGTAGGGACTTCACACCCACTCTCTTTGCTTTTCCTCTCTAATTTGGCGACGGCTTCTCCCTCTTTCCTGTCTTTGGCTAAATTGCAACTACGCTGGCAAGCAATCTCTGCTTTTCCCCTCTTCCCCATTCCCCAACTTTAATGTCCTCCCCCTCCTCTACCACCTCCCCCTTCCTCTCCTTTTCAATGCTCTGAGTTCCTCTCAAATGTCAGTGTGGCACGAGTGGGTGGCAGGCAGCGCCATCTGAACGAGCCCCGTCTATGGTTTTGCTGCAGTGTGAGGATTGGCTAAAGGAAGAAGAGTGAGTGAATGAGCGAGGGAGTGCATGTGGTTGGCGGCTTGACAGCGGACACCTGACGTGTTCTGAGATCGGCCGCTAACAGCTGTCCTTATTTTGACTTTTACGGTAGATAGTGTTGATTTATTACATTCAAGGGAGAAGGGGATTGAATGGGCAGAGCTGATGCCGCAGCAAAAACACACACGTATACACAAAAAGACACAGACATGCAGGTACGCACTCTGGCGAAAGCACATGGACATAAAGACACACACAAGTACGCACCTACATGTGTAAACACACTTTTTTTTTTTTTTTTTTACATGTCCACAAACCAAAAAGCCTCATACACACACACACAATACACATCCTCACACCCATCAAATCTTGCGCACACACATACATACACACATATCCAAAGCCGGTGTGCTATGACTCAGAGGGAAGCAGCTGGAGTGAAGGCTCCAGTGGCGGTGGTGAGCTGTCACCATCTGGAGGAGTGCATGTCTCTCTGCCTCCACAGCCAGCAGAATAAATCACCTCCCAACAACTGGGTGTCAGTGGATCAACATGTTTCTCTATGTCGTCTGTTTTCTGTGTACTTTTTACACATGTATGCACATGTGTATGTACTGTATCTATGGCTGGAACGTCCCGAACGTGAAGCTGTCCTCGGCTGCTGCAGTCACATCCTCAGTCTGTTGTTTTCTTTCTGAGTGGACATGTCCGGTGCTCGGATCAGAGATGCTTTGATCAGGCTTTGACGCCCCGTCTCATCTAATAACCTGGACCATTTGTCTGTGGGCTGACGGCTGCACCTGTCCTGCAGACGCCATCGAGATGCAGGGTACTGGGGGGCTGGGGGGTGGGGGGGGAGTGAAGACCTTAGCTCTGCAAACAGGGTTAAGTCTGATACATTTATTTTCTTTTAAAGGCCCTAAAAGCAGATATTCCCAATCTTTAATGGGAGTTCTACATGGAATGAACATTTTCTGCTACATTTGGAACAGTTTTAGTTTTCTCTGTTCTCTTTTCACTGGTTTGAAGTGGCACCAGTTAGAAATGTTGCAATATTTAAATCAGTGTGTGATGACAGTTGTGTGGTTGTTTGTTTTTGTTGCTAGACCACTGTCAAAATCTGATCAAACCACACCTACACGGTTGTGTAGATGCAGATTAGCTGAGTCTTGGAGTGTTTGACTATTTATCTTTGATTGTTCCTTATTTAGTCATGAATATTTAATATTATAGCGAAATACTTCTGATTTGAAAGCAAGTTTTCGGGGGCTTTGATACCTAATAGTTTCCCGAAATGTTGAATACATGAAGTGGGAAACCTAGATTTAAGGAATAAGTGTGGAATAAGTTGAAAGGATGTAAGATATAGAATATAATGTATATTGTCTCTCTCCCAATGGATTTGTCTTCATGTGATTGTTGAGCTCTGCTGCATAACGGAAAGAAACTCTTGCTCTTTAAGTCTGAAGGACTGGGACCAAAGCTTGACATTTACCACTGATGACTTACGCACTTTCATTTTCACTTCCACTGTATCTTTGCAGGAAAAAGCACAGTGGGACATAATGAGGAAGAAAGTGCATTATAAAAAACAGTCAAATTAGCCCAAAAACTACATCAGCAATTGTTCTAAGTGTTTAATTGTACATTTTCACCTTTTGAGAGCTGCTAACCTTGAAAATGGAGTGGAGTTTAATGCCGTTTCAGCTTTTCTTTTCCTGCCAAGGACAAAGCTGTGGGGAATTTTGCCATTAAAGGGACTGTCATTGCAAAAATATTGGCAGCATCAGTCCAGGATTTTTAATATCGACTTTGTCCTTCACACTGGATCCCTGGTTGAACCGTAGTTACTAATTGCCAACTTGTCTGTTTGCTTTGTTTGGCAGGGTCAACACAGGTAGAACACTCAGTAACTCTGCAGGCCAGACTTAGCTGGTCTCCTTTGGGAAACTAACACACATGCCGGCTCCCTGTGGTCAACCCCTATAAACACATGAGAGGGAAGGAACACAGACAAACCATGAAAAAGATATACATTGGCAAAACCGCCTTAAAAGTCCCCCGAAATGGCGGCAAACATCCAAAAAAGAGGTAAGAGTGAATCTCTCAGACGCCATCTTTCCATCCGTCCTCGTTTTTATCTGTTTGTCCGTTCACCCGCCCACGAGGTGTCTCCTCTCGCCGTCCAGTGGTGCTAAAGCAGCCTCATCCCGCCTCTCTCCGAACCCAGGAGTCATGCTGCCTCGTCATCTCATCTCACCGGAATGAAAGCACTCATTACGTCTGACTCAGCTCCTGCTCACAGAGGAGGTCACTAATGGGGATTTTTCATCCCTGGAGCTACTTCACGTAAACTCATCCTCTATCAAACAACAAACACCTGTATTCCCCTGCTAATGCCTGCCAATCAAAGAGAAGCAGGAGGTGAGGAGGTGGGGGCTTCTGGGTAATGCAGCACTAAAATGCCATCCAGTCAGTTGAGGCATTCATTGAATCACCCTGTAGGCAGGTATTTCTTACTCACTTGGAGATGCTGCAGTTCTCTCTGTAAACTGTGGTAAACAACTGTCCAGTGTGAAATTATAATTTCTGATTTCACTGGTACCAGGAAAAGCACTTTTTCAAACATGTCAAATATCCATCCATCCATCCATTATCTATACGGCTTATCCTTGTAGGGTCGCATGGGGGGGCTGGAGCCAATCCCAGCTGACATTGGGCGAGGGCGGGATACACCTCAGACAGGTCGCCAATCTATCACAGGGCTGACATATAGAGACAAACAACCACGCACACATCATTGTTCAAATATGACTTATAATTATCTCATTTTGAAAGGAAACCTCTTGTAGTTGCACAAATGCTGAATGTTTCCTCTCATTAGCAAAGGTGGAAGTACCTTACACCAAGTCCTCAAAAAAAAAGTTGCATCAGTAGCTTTTAACAATTGAACACTGATGCAGTTGCAGTGAACATCTACACAATCAACAAAGAGACTATGAATCGCTGAACTGCCCTGATCAAAGCCATTTGAATCAGCGAAGTGATTCTTAATTTCAACCGAATGTTGTCATACTGCCACAAAACCTCTTAGAGGAGGAGGAGGGTGGTGCCTCTAAAGCCTCTGTAATTTAAGACAAATCTTGTGGGTCACTGCCCGTCTCCTAACAAAAGTCAATTTTTAGTTTCTGTAAACAATGAAGGCCATCTTTCACAAACTTTAACCAAGTAAAATTAGTTGCCCAAACTTAATCATACATTCTATTCCGAGTCATTTTCAGAAAACAATCTTCTTGCGGGAGGGACTTGTTGCCAAAACTGGTGTTTTCGTCTCTGCCCGTATCAACCAGTGAGATTTTTTCCTCTGGAGCAGCTCTGTTTCTGAGAAAAGAATCTTTCTGCGGCACATATTTGCTGCATTTCCATGTGAATCAATTAACATTAGTATTTGTTATTCATCACACACCTGAAGGTGTTACTAGACAGCACCTACATAACTTACAGACCTACAGAGAAAACAAAAGAAAAGCAATATATGTTACTGTATCTCTCAAACACATTACATACCATCGGGTATCGTGTGTGTTTGGCATATCAGAAATACCGTATTTGTTTTATTTGTGTGACTGTCTGAAATGAATAATCCAGCTAAAGACAAAAAGTTTGACTAAAATGGCCAGACTCTGAAGAAACAGCTAGGCTCATAATCTGTAGTCTAACCAACCATAGTGCTGTATAAAGTGTGGACTGACCCCATATTAATGAGATGGAAACTGGATGATACCTCCACTTAGGGACCTGAAAAACACACTGAAACCAACCAGCCCGTTTTTTTTTTTCTCTCTCTCTTTCTCAGCCCCCACCATCTGCATCTATAATCGTGTTAAAAGAGAGAAAAAGAGACTAAAAGAGGAAGTGAAAAGAGCAACGTGACCACATCTCCATCCACTCTCTGCTATCTGTTATCCGGCTGCAGATAGAGTCATTACCCTCCTTCCTCCATCTGTCCGTCAATACAGGGTCCATTAAGCCCAGCCGTGCACACTCGGATCCATCACGGCAACAGACATTTCCTCTTTTCCCACTCACACTTGCCCTTTTATTAGATTGAAGCCCAGGTAACGCACGTACTCTAAAAATAGTCATCATTGTGCTGTCTCACTGAATTACATGTGGGGGGTATCGCTGTTCGGTAAATCCGAGCCTTCACAGTCTATTCGTATGATGTATTAGAGTTCATTGGCTCATATTTCATCACAGATTACGCCATCCATTTTTTTTCTGCGGGTCCAATCTCACTGATGATTGGGTTTCTGTGATGTGCTGCAGAGCTTTAATACTGGAGAAAAAAAGATCTGATGCTCAAAGATCTAATGACTCAAAAAGCTCTGTATCCTTGCCTGGATCCTTAATTAGACATCTCTGTTTTGGCCTCATGTTTTCTACATACAAAGCACTTTTACACACAATGTTATCACCCTCTCATGACGTTCTCATCACCGCTGCATGGCCATTCAGGGGTGCATTAAAAAGATATGTAGACCCTGATAAGTTCATTTAGATAAGGATGTGCCCAGGTTATGAAGTTGTTTCCCCCACTACGTGCCCTGAACACAATCATCTCCTGTGTGTGTGTGTGTGTGTGTGTGTGTGTGTGTTGTGTTGTGTGTGTGTGTGTGTGTGTGTGTGTGTTTGTGTTCACGTGTGTGTGCAGCTCATTGCTGGAGCAGAAGGAGGACTTACGGAAGAGGCTTTCCTACACGACTCACAAGCTGGAGCTGCTGCAGAGCGAGTTCGACTCCACGCGGCAGTACCTGGAGACGGAGCTGCGCCGAGCGCAGGAGGAGCTGGACAAGTTTACTGATAAACTGCGCAGGTTGGCCTACATACTGAACAACACTGATGATCAGTGGAGGAAGAAGTCCTTAGATCCTTCACTTATATAAATATACCAAAACCACAAAGTAAAAATACTCACTCTTCAGAGAAGTTGTCCCTGTGACTGACATCATATGAAAATGGTATTATTAGATTGTTAATATTGATACATCAGAGCTAGTTTTAACTACTTTATACCTCGAACCACTGGTAGTTTAATTCAGACCTGGGGGGTCAAGCTCCTTCCAAATGATTGATGATTAATGGGGTTTAGAGAGGACAAATCTGTACTCGTGTTTTGGACTTTTCTCCCATCTTTGCTTTACCTCCTTGAGCCTTGAACATTTATTTAAATGAAAGAACCTGAGAAAGTTCAGAGAAGCTGGTGGAGCTGCTAACAACTGATAGACATCTGAAAGGTGACAAAGGGGGTCCAAACTGGACTGGACTGCCTTTTTGTAGGGTCCCAAAAGGCAAGGTTTTTTATTTAAACTCTTAATCTGAAATGTAAAAAAACTAACTCTAGCTGACAAATAAATGTAGTGGAGTTAAAGTATTTCCACCAATGCTCAGGATATACAGTGTTATATTAGTTAAAGGTGAGAGGTTTAAGAAATTGCGTTGTTTGAAGATTTAGGCCAGTGAACAGCAGCTTTAAAACTGAGGAATGATGAAATTTACGGTGGAGGATTTAGGAGGAGACAGTGTGTAATTCAATTCTTTTTGCTAATGAGGACCGGCTGACTTTTTTACATGGTGTGAGATTTACTACTTCTCATAAAGTGCAAGGCATAGTGATAAACTGCATCAAGTTGTTTTAAAGTATATTGGGTAATGTGTCATTACAGGATATCAAGCACAGACAAACTGGTTTTCCTGCCATCTAAAGAGCGACATGTAATACAAACAAACCAAGAGACACATTTTGTCTCTGATAACCTCATAATTAGTTCTACATTATGACATTATGTCCAGGAAATGTCCTTGTAAATGATCAGAAAATCAAGGATAAGACATTAAAAATCAACACATTTTGCATTAAAATTAGTGTTATAAGTCTGTGTTGACAAAACAAAAATAAACTTGTGCAGATTCTGTATAAGTATGCAAACTTTCACAATAAAAGGCAAGACGTGGAGAGAAGTCAGAACCAAGAGTCTAGCATGCTAACATTTTCTAATTAGCATTAAAAAGAAAGTGCAGCTGAGGCTGATGGGAATGTGATTTAGTTTTACAGGTGTTTGATCATAAATCAAAGTATTGGACAAATTGAAATTTTGACCTGATGACTCTATAGTAAAAATGACAAAACAAAAATTACAATCCTTTCAATCCTCTGGGGTCTATGAGTATGTTTACCTAGTTCAACCATTCAACAGTTGTTAAGACGTTTCTCTCAAAACTACAAACCGGACTCTATTTGATGGCGCTATAAGAAAAGTCAGGGGATCATCAGAGTCATTAGGATACACTGTCTGGGAACAATGGATATCTGTACAAAATTTCATGGAGGTCCCTGTCAGAGAGAGTGAGTGATTCCTATTATATGAAAATGTTGCCCAAAACTTTGCCCTGTGCAGAATGTCTCTGCCTCCTGTTTCACAAATAATAGAAAAAACATTTACTAAATCATCAGCACCAGTAGAGTGAGGTCAGCGAGGTGTGAAAAATTACTCTCACAAGTGCTATAAGGTGCACGACCTCTCCAAACAGTTTGTTTTCAGTTTGGAGAGGTCTCCGGCTGCTACAGTACAATATGTATGTGTCTGTACAAACTGCTATCTGCAAGTGAGTTTATTGTGTTGTTTAGAATACAGAGCAGCTACTCGGCACTGCAGAGGATCAACCAAGATCTGGAGGAGAAGATCCACAGAAATGTAAGTGTTTAAGCACCTGTGCGTGTGTGTGTGTGTGTGTGTGTGTGTGTGTGTGTGTGTGTGTGTGTGTGTGTGTGTGTGTGTGTGAGTGTATCCAGTCATATGAATGTATGTTAAGTACCTGTAGACACAGAAGAAAGAGAAGCATGCAAGCAAGTCATTGGGTTTAGAGATGGTGTGGAACACTTGGAGAGCCAATTTGAATATGAATGCCCTGCTGTTGGTACCACTGACGTTAATTATGGCTTATTACAATTGGCTGTCCTCCTTCCAGTGGCAGAGTGATAGCAAACCCATTGTTCCTCAGTGCACCGCACCTCACTTCATTTGTCAGACATTGCTTTCGCCGGTGGAAAGATACAATTAACTAGCCTGCCTGAGAACACTGCATGACCATCAGGTGTCTTTGCTGTTGAATACACTCCTGAAAACGCTCAAGGAAAGGGTTTGTTACAGCACAAGATAATAATCACAACGATCATGATTACAATGTGAGATACCAGGTACGGATAATAAGGAGCTGAAGGTCACCCGGCTATTTTCGAGAATAAAAATTGTAATTTTTAAAATAAAGGTCAACAGCTTTATATTTATTTTATTTATTTTTTTCTTGTGAAGTGTCCTCATCAGCCGTTATTGATTCATCTCACGTAGTATTCCCTCCTCAAGGGTGAGAGAGGTGCTGAGTAAGTCTCTCTGTAATCGTAAAGCTTGTTTACTCCAGAGGTGCCACAAACCCGTCTGACCCCTTGGCCTCGCTCAACTATAGAGAATGTAATTACAAGACAGATAAACACAGTGATATACTTTGAGTACTACGGTTTTCCAAGGAATGAAAGTTGGAAGAGGAAAACAAAAACAAAACTTCTGCACACCTAAACCACAAGAAAAAATGTTTACATCTGCCATATATGGCGCAGACTGTTACACGTGTTTTTTCTTCAGGCTCTGTGTTTCAGCACATTCAAAGTGTGACTGTCCAAATACTTACGGTCTGGACTGTATTCCCTTAATTGAAGCGCCACACAGAATGCAAAGCTGTCCCTTCAACAACAGCAAACAAGTACTCAGTGAATACAAGCCAGTCGTTTCTGCCTTCATCAGCCAACAAAAAAGAGAAAATTTACCTCTGTGGAGTGCTCAGTTTACTGACGTCATGCTTTCTTGGTTACCCATAGTAACCAAAAAAATTCTGCTACAGCATCTCTTGCCACCTCTTACACACTAACAGTGCGTGTGGCTGCATAGTGTATCCTTAGTGTATTCATTCTGTGTTTATATTTAGAGGCAGGATCTTATGCACCCTGCTTCAGACTGAGGTCACATTTTCATGGTAGAAAAAAAATAAATAGTGGATTGCTCTTTCAAGCTCTCATATCGATGTGGTTTGCACATAGAGAAACCTTTATTTTGTATGACTGAATTCAGTTTTTATTGTGTAATGTTCAGGATTCCTAGCACAAAAATGCTGATGTTTGGTACAAACCTAAACTACGAACATCTTGTCTGACTCTGAAGAAGAAAACAGTACAGTGTACAGCCTTAACTGAAGCAGAATTTAAAGGTGCTATTTGCAAGTTTTGCTATTGCTATATACAACTCCTCTCTTGTCATCGTCAGTCCCAGCACCACGACGATGAGAAACGAGCTTTGAGCAGAGAGATCATCGTTCTCAACAACCACCTGATGGAGGCCAAGCTCACCATCGAGAAGCTGCGAGAGGACAATGTAAGTAAGAGCACAGTAAAAATCACACAGCTCAGACTGGTGTTTCCTCTCGCCTTTAACACTCTTAGTTTATGAAACCAAACAATACATATTAGCTTGGTCTTGGTTACTGTCCCTTGCAGTGGATTGCTGCTCTGTAACAAATACTGTACGATCTGCTGAAATTCTCATTAGAATTAGATTTTTTTCAAGTCACTTTTCTTAATAATGACAAACTGAACAGGTTTTGGTTGTTTTCTCTTGGTGGCAACAATATGTTGCCCTACCTTTCTATTATAGTACTAGACCATAATAATTTCTGGATGGTAGCGTTCTCCAGTCACTCTTGGCTGTGGGTGAGAAGCTGGCCACAGTTTCTCTTTGAATAATTTTAACCCACACAACAAGACAGCATTCATCCAACTTCACTTTCTTAGAGTTCACAGTGTAGTCTTGACTTTACTGCTGCTCTGTTACTGTTACACTCAAAACTGTCCCCCGTAAAACAAAGGCAGGAAGGAACTAAAATGACTCTTAGGCAAGAGGACATAAATAAGCAACTTTAATGTTACACATTTAAATATATGAATAATAATAAAGTTTAATTCTGCAAAAGTCTAAAATAATATAATAATAATAATATAACAACATAATAAACAATAAGCACACAGCAATAAATAACAACCTAAGAAGCAACATATATGGTAAACTCAAGTCATTAAAATACCCAAAAAATGTAACTTGTACCATAACTGAGGTTACAGAGAGAGGTTTGAGTTTTGGTGGGTAGAAGTAAAGTGATATCTACTCAGCAGAGACCAGAAAACTAGTCAGCAACAGCATTTTCCAGCATTTATCCATGTTATCTCTTCTAATTTTGGTCATGCTGTGCCTCCATAGGATCTGTACAGAAAGGACTGTAACCTGGCTGCTCAGCTTCTCCAGTGCAACAAGTCTCTTTACAGAGCCCAGCTCTCTGAGGTGAGCCTTAAACTGACTTTTACATGTCTTTTAGTCTTATTTTTAACTCAAATCTTTTTTTTTTTTTTTTTCAGTTGAATCCACTGCACCTCGCTTTTTCTAACTCAGTTGTTTTGCCAGTTTCAGTCTAATCCATAGCAGCTTAAGCAGAATGCATTTCAATTCTTACCTCACAAAGCTCACATCCAACCAAGGCTGCGACCCATTAGAGCTTCAGGTTTTTTCCACTGACATTTAAAGTGAACCCAGAAAATTACATACAAAAGAAAAAACAATAATTTTTCAATACAGTGGAAGGCAGGTAAGAGGGGAAATATTTGGTAAAAAAAAAAAAAAGCTGTGATTTGTGGGGAAGAGGAGATGTGAGTGAGGTGTTTCATGAGCAGCAGTAAGCTGAATTTTCAACTCGTGACATGAGATGGGCAAAAAAAAAAAAATTGCCGCCTCGACTATAACTGAAGGTCATCTTACCCTTTGCGAAGCAGCAGAGATAAGAGACGAGACTTGGTGGAGCGATGACTACTGTGGGACACTGCAGGAAGGGCAGAGACTGAGGAATCAAAGCTGGGGGTTTTTTTGGGCTAAATAACCCTCACCTGTGAGAAGAGAAAGAGGCAAGGTTTCAGAGAGTTGGTAATATTATACAGCTTAACAAAGTTACAGTTAAGACAGATAATCAACTACATTATAAATATGATAATGCTTTGAGGGCCATAAATTATGGATGAAAAATCTTTGCTATTTTTTATTTGCTAAATTTTAATTTATACTTTATCACTTCTCATCGCCTCATTACTTTACACTGAAAATAAAAAGTGAAATTGTTTCTGCTTATTGATATTTACCCATAGACTGTGTATAGCATTTACCCTTACTACTGAGATCATTACTACCATTAAATAAAGTGTTTTTTTAACCAATTCAATACTGACTTTTTTAAGATTAAAGGCCAGATAAGATTTAAAATCTTTTTCTGTTCTTCATTAAATATCTCCGTCTAGCCAAGCAAACATACTAATCAGCCAAAGTAGAAATCCTGTTATCGTGTGTCAAACAACAGAAATATCATACTTAGAAATTAAATATTGCCTGCATAAACTGCCTTGTGCTTACGGCATTGAACTGGAATCACATGCAGTCTTGGATATGAAAAGTAACTCTTGTGTTTGCACCCATCTGTGAGACAGGAGTCTAAAGTAAACCAGGGCTCTTAAGTCTTTCTCCTCCTGTCACTCATTATGCGGCGCATAAGTCAGAGTGTAATTATACTGCACTGAGTTCGGTGATCATGTAATTGTTTGAGAATGATTAAGCACGGAGCAGCACAGAAACCACTCCATGGCAAATTGTGCACAAAAGTGAGAGGCAGTGAGCTGTTCAAGGGACTACAGTATGAGACAAAAATGTAAATACAGAATGCACCGCAGCGTCATCATGCTAGAAATGCATGTGAGTATTGATAAGTGCTTTAACACCAGGCCGGCTTGGCGCCACTTTCCACTGCATCAGCCCTGGGAGCTTGTGCCTCGCCCATGTGACACAAGTAGATTTTAAAGCTGGCAAATGTCAAGAGGTTAAAGAATTACCCCCCCCCCCCCCCCATATCCATATAGCTGAATGGAAATATCAATGCAAACTGCATTTGGTTATATAAGACACATAAAATACCCCCCCCCCACACACACACACACACCCCACCCCACAAACACACACACACATATACTGCACACCCTGGCTATACGCAGTATAGGATCTGTTATGGAGTGAAAAACTGTTCTGTGGGCTCACTGCCAAACATAATGGGGGTCAGAGGCTATACATGCGCTCACTGTATGTCTGCTGGTCCTGTGGGTGGAAGCTAATCGAAAGCATATTGATGAATGGTGCTGCAGCATTTTGAGAAGTGCAGTGGCTCTTCAGCGCCTACGGAAGTGCTTTAGTCGTTTGTTTTGCTGCAAAACAAGCACAGAGAGGGCATAAAATGATTGGGCTCGGATTTCTGAATGCCACATAAAAGCTAATTGTGATCTTGTTCAAAACAAGCCCAAATGAAAAATGTGTGGACAGTAATTAAGTGGCATTTAGTTTGGTCCAAGTTGTAATAAAACTGTTATGATAAAATGTATTTTCATGTTCTCTGTGGTGTTTGTCTTTTTCTCCATCTACAAAGTTATAATTAGCTTGCCTCTCATTGCCAATTAGGAACAACTGACTAGATTCCTGTTGATGATGTGCTGCAGTTGGCTTAATGCTTGTTGCTATGGAGAGGCGCAGATAGTGGATATAAGCTTTTTATTGAGAAATGCTCAGAATAGAACAATGTCTTTCTTTTCCAAGGAAGGCGCCTCACTTCGCCTTCATTTTCACATTTATTTTCCTCTGTTGTTGATGCTCTTGTCACTGAAAACGACACTTTGATGTTTTTACTAAACACGCACAGGTGTATGTTGCAGTGACACACTCAGAAATCACCTACTGTACAGTGACATACTGACACACATACTGCAGTGCACAGGGACAACAGAAACTGCAAGTGCTTAAAAAAGTCACACATCAATACATTAAATTAAGAAGGTATAATGTAGAGAGGTAGATATCTTGCATTTGAGTATATATGCAGTACAGAGTTCTCATGTTAAGGCCTGTTTATGCTGTGTGATTTTTTTGGTTTGCCTAACACCAACAGAGTTGATAATCATGAGAGAAACGTGGTAAAATAATTGCTTGTCAATCTAAAAAGGTGGTTGTAGATCACAATGTGAATCAACACCACCACCGGTGGCTGATTTGTAGCTTTGGTGACTCAAGACAGCGACATATTACTGACACTGTCAGAAATCACAGTGTCACTGCTGCTCTGACCCACAACTACAAACCAACCCATCAGAGTACCAGATAAAACCATTGCTCAGTGTGACATTTTGTACTACTATTTGTACTGAATAGAATAAGGTGCTTGGAATTTTCTATCGAGATTTTAGATCATTTCTACAGCAACACTTAAAATTTTCCCGCCCTTCTCTTTTCTCTGATGCTTCTAGCTGCCTGCTGATTTTCAGGAGCGACTGACCATGCACATGGAGGAGCCTCCTCTCTGTCACACCTACCCCGACACTGTCCCAGCCTCTCTCATTGCCAAAGTGCTCGAGAAGCCAGACGAAGCCTGCAGCAGCAGCCAGGCCTCCCGCTCCCCAAGCCCCCAAACCCAGGACCATGCTTTTATTTTGGAGAGCTTGGGCCCAGGAGAGCGCCTTGGGCTCCGTGCAGCCTACAAATCCGACCTGTACAGCAGTGACACGGCCCTGTACTGCCCTGATGACCGGCACCGTGAGCGGAGACCCAGCATGGACCTCCACGGTCAGAGGAAGCTGCTGTATGGGCCCCAAAACTCCACCGACAGCACTCCAGAGGAGGGGTCAGTCGGGTTGAGAGCCGGCTTCTCACAGGAGCACTTCGCTAAATTCCCCGCCACTCTGGGTGCAGGCTCCAGCTCCTACTCCAGCTTCAGCGGTGGGGGATCTGAGGACAAAGGCAACGGCCCGCCCAGCAGTGTAGCTTCCTCCCCTCGCCATCATTCCCTCTACATGGACTGGAGAGACGCAGGTGACTATGAGAGAAAGAGCGATTCATCCTGGGAGAGGGACAGTCCAAGAGGCTTTGCCAACGCTCATCCCTTCCAGCAGACGGAGCTGAGCCACCATCAGAACGGCAGCTCACCTGTCTACAGCCGCACCATGTCCTCCTGTTTCAGTGAACCCTATGAGCCACTCCCTCCCTCTTCATCCCCAAGTGTTGCCTATGGAGACAGTCGACGAGGTAGCACATTAGCCCCAGAGGAGGAGGAGCTGATTGGTCGATGGAGACAACTTAGTGTGGAGGATTTAAGTGCCCACACCTACCGCAGCCCAGGCCGGGCCTCACCTTACAGCTTCTCAGAGCAGCACTTCTCTGTGCGGCCTGCTAAAATTCGACTCGGGCCGCTCTACAGCAGCTTCCAGGAGGGGGCTGACTATTATCATCACGGAGTGGGTGTCATGGACCCAGTGTGGGTTGCCGCCAGCCCCAGCCCCGAATGCAGCCCAGGGCTGCGACAGGCACACAGCCAAGCCCACATCTACCGAGCTGAGGACAGTCAGGAGTCGGAGCACAGCCTCTACCACTCAGGGAGCTCCAAAGACAGGGAGGGCAACGTGGCAGCTGGTGGCCAGAGCACGGATTATGTAGACCCCAGCCCCAACAGCTCCACCGAGTCTCTCAACCAGAGGTCCTTGGAGATGGCCGCAGAGCTGCAGCACTATCAAGTAGAGATGCACAGCTTGCCTGCACAGGTGAGCCAGTCGCCACCACCGGCCCCACCCCCTCCTCCTCCGTACAACCAAAAATTTGGCTCCCTGGGACTTTCCAGGAAGGACAGTCTGACCAAGGCCCAGCTCTATGGAACACTTCTGAACTGAAGGACTTTCCAATCAGGTTCATTCTTTGATAGGATTTTAGATGCAAAGCCCTGATGTGTCCAGCTACACCTTCTGTTAGAACAACCATTTTGATAGAAAATGGTTTGAATAGAAGCCAGGAGCCAAATGATTCAGTACCATGAACATGTAACTATTGCTGATTATCTAAAAGCTTCAGTTGTATGGCAGTGGATGGCAACAGTTTACACTACAATTGTCCAGAGCAAATCAGTGATGTTAAGAGTTGGATGTGGGGCAACAGGAGAGGTGGAGCTCAAGCAGCCCTTAAATTTGTAAGAATGTGTATGTATTTAAATTACAAATGTATAAATATATACTTGTAACTACAAATTGAGTGATATATTTTGTATGTGGCTGTTAGCAAGAAATAATGTACATCCAAAACAATCACACAAAATGATCTTGATAAACCTGGAACTTGTACATAAATTAAGAACTGCCAATCCTATATTTGAGAACTCAGAAAGGTATATTAAGTGAGAAGTAAACTGCATATAGATTAGTTTCAGTCATCATTTTTAATCGGCTGAAACAGTGTTGGCCTTGTGAGGATTTAGATGTGAATGTTAAACATAAGGGGATCTTAAAAATGATTATTAATCACTCAAATGAACAACAGGAAACATATATTTTGTTTTTCTTCTGTTGATTGAATTTGACAGTATTGATGGGTGTGTTATATTGTTATTGATGGAGCGTTTTGAGATCTGTCTTAGCAGTCAGTATTACTTTGTTTTTGCTCTTCTATATCCCACGGAGAGGTTTTCCTGCACCCATTCTACCTCAGATTTGGATGCCCACACCCCATTAAGCCACTGTAACCTTGTTTCTTTGACTACGATGCATGTTTATATATTTTGGTTGTTTTGTTCGCCTAATAAAGCACAAATTACACATATAGGCTCCCAGCCTTCCTTTCATATTCACATGCAGAGGTTTGGGGAAATTTAAATATGACCGCATCAACCAGACATCTTGTTTTAATGTCGCTCTACTTTGAAGTAAAGTCGCATATAATCAGTTGTTGTTTTTAAGATAATTACATGTCTGCCGATCCACAGTGTTAAGTCGAGTGACTGAACCCTTCATCATTCAAACTCACATCGCTGCAGCCATGTGGTGTGTGCCTGCTGAGTCACCGTGAGGCCCTGCTTTATCACTGTTGTGGATTTAAAAATAGGTTAGTAGAGAGGGATTTTTGCCAAGATCAGCAAACGCAAAACAGGAAGAGAGTCATCATCAAGAAAATACTACGGTATGAGGAAATGAATCCTGTGACTCTGTGACTATTTGTGATATCGGACACACTAGATAACAGTTAATATTCAGCATGCATTCGTCTTTGATATGCTGCTACTAAATATACAGCAGCTGGACAAAATGACAAGAATACCTGACATTATAAAGCAGCTCAAAAAGATCTGTCTGATAAATAGCACCTTTGTGAAGCTTATAATGTTCTTTTAGGCCACTATACTGCACTGAGTTGTAGGGCTGATGCAATTAGCTGATTAATTGATTAGTCAGAAAATTAATCACCAGGTATTTTGATAATCAGTTGATCCTTTCACACATTTAACAAGGAAAATGCCAAACATGCTGGCTCCAGTCTCCTGAATCTGAGAACGTGCTGCTTTTCTCTGACAATTTTTATTTTAGTAAATTATTCAAAAACCAGAACCCTACTTGTGTGTTTCTTGCATTTAGTTACTCCTGAAATGATTTATCAATTAATTGATAAGTCAATCAGCAGAAATTTAATATGCAATTATATACTAACTATGTTGTTAATAATTTATAGCAAAGTATTAGAATTTTCTTCTATATTTTCTGTAACAGTAAACTGAATGTAGTATATCTGGATTTTGGGCTGTTGGACAGACAAAAACAAGACCAAGATTAGAATTACAACAACTATTTTATTTTCAAGTGGTTTGTTCCACAAAATGTCAGAAAATTGTAAAATATGTCAATCCCAGATTCCCAAAGCCCATGGTGACGTTTTTAGATGTCTCGTTTTGTCCAATAATCAAAACCCCAAGTTTTTGTTAAGTTTCCTTTCATAGAAGATGAAGGAAATCTGAAAATATTCAAACAGAAAATTTTGGCATTTTTGTCTTGAAGAACTCAAATTAATCAAATATCAAAATAGTTGAAGATTACTTTTCTGTCAATTGATTAATCAATTAATGGACTAAACGCTGCAGGTCTGAACAAGACTTTTTTTGTCTTGACATTATTTCTCACAGGACTTTAGGAAAATTTGATTTTCCCAGTGTTTTCTCACATATAATGATCACGTATATGGTCCGTTGTGAAAATAATTGGTGGATTGATCAATAATGAAACTAACTCTCGGTTGCAGCCTTGTATTTAGTCCACCCTCTGTATTCAGCCTTCTTTACAAACAGTGGTTTTATTAGCTTATACAGGACGTTCAGTCAGGGTTTTCTTCTAATTATTCTTGTGCATCTGAAATTCACTTATTTCATTTATATTCATTGCTTCATCTCCTTTCCCTCCTTTCCTACCTGCTGAGGTATGAGGACATTTACATGTGCGACTGAATCCATCCACAGGAGGGAGCCCCAGCGCAGCAGCATCCCACTGATCTGCATTGTCGACCTTATTATTGTTCCAGCTCCTCCAGACACAGCAGAGAGCATTTACACTTCAAACACATCGAGAGAGGGAAACTAGATTAACAGCTGCCCCCTCCCGCCTCTCCTTTATACACGGCAAAAATACATGCTAAAGTATGCACAAATTTAGCATTCAAACACCATAGCTGAACCAGAAACGGATATGCTCCTCACTCCACTCTGAGGATTTGCAAAGCACAAGCAATAATGTGACCTCACAGTGGAGGAAAATGTGACAGCTCAGCTTGGCTTTGATGAATGCTACGAGATGAGTTCACTCCCTTTGATCATGATGAGGTCTGTGTGTGAATCTTGGTCACTGGCATAAGAGTAAGGTGCTGTCTAGGTTTTGTATTCATAACCTCAGACCAAGCAGACACTATCAAGTTTTAGGAATTATTTTAGTGTCTTTTGGCTCTGAAATACTTCCATATATGCTATATTATGATTTGTAAATGTTAAGCACAAATGGGAAATCTACAATTAAAGAGGCACTCCATCAATTTTGCACATTAAAGTCCATTCATTTATCATGAGGAGTACAACTTAGCCTGTAGAAACTGCTGTATAATGTCTTTTGTGTCTCTGGAGGGAGCTTCCCAAAGTATAACTCTGATGGTATAAACTCGAGCTTAATGGAAATACAATTTTTAATTGCTGGAGTATCCCTATAAGTGATGTATGTGTGCTCTTTTATCATGTTTCTCCTGTTTAGACCCACATTTCCTAGTGTCACAAATTTATGTGGATTCTTGTAGTGGCACATTTTTTTAATTGTTCAAATTTTATACAATCTCTGTGCAATACACTCGCAGCGCACTTGCTTACAGAGACTTAATTCACACACTTCACTGGCACAATATGTCAGTCAATTAATGATTTTATCTGAAAGGTGGCAATTGGTCTTTTCACAAGCCATCTCTCCCTGTACAGTCTGTGGGGCTGCTAAGGATTAATTATCTTGTCCAGGAATACTTAAGTCCCCTGAAACACCGTCCACAGAACAGGACTCTGCTTAGTTAGTGAGTCCAACCATCCTGCTGCTTATGTCCCACAGCTTCTTGGCTGCCTGCTCATCTGTAGCTTTGGCCATCAGCTCCTCCTCCTCGCAGTTAGCGAAACACTTGCCTGACACTCCCTCCACCTCTGGGGAGCAGGCCAGATAGAGAGGAGTCTGGGCCCCCTCAAGTGGACTCTTAAAAAAGATCAGTGAGGCGAGGTAGAACAGCGGCTTTGCCAGGAGGGAGATTTGAACATGCCTGCCTAGTCTGGTCCTTACGACGCCCGGGGTGAGAGCATTGACTGTGACCTCTGTGCCTTCCAGCTGACGAGCCAGTTCAAGTGTAAACAGCAGGTTGGCCAACTTGCTCTGACTGTAGCAGAAGGCCTTGTTGTAGTTATTTTCACTGTTCAGGTCATCAAAGTTGATGTGGCCATACTTGTAAAGCTTAGAGGAAACCACAACGATGCGGCTGGGAGCAGAAGTCTTCAGGAGGTCCAGCAGGAGGTGAGTGAGGAGGAAGTGACCCAGGTGGTTCACACCGAGCTGCATCTCAAAACCATCCTCTGTCTTCGTGTAAGGACACTGGAAGATGCCTGCATTGTTGATGAGCACGTCAATTTTGGACTCCTCCTAAAGGGAGACAGACATTTAAAGCATTTAAAGCTTAATAACAGACTCAATTAAGGAAGGTTGTAGTGAATTTCAAACTGCTTGAAGCCTTATATCAAAAATGGCCTGAATCTTGATCTGTCTAATTAGCCAAAACCATAAACTGTAAATTTGCTTACAAGTGATGCTAGCACTGTGTATGTGTTTTAAAGATGTAAAGCTGCCTTCATTAAAGCACTAATTAATTATCTTAGGACCCTGTGATTGCCATTAAATCAGTCTTAGGATATACCCTGAGACACCCAGTGGTTATGGGAGGTAAATGTTGGCACATGACAAAGAATTGGCAAGATGATGCTACTATGAAGAATGCATTATTTTACAAAAATATTCCTAAAAAATCAAAACATTGGTACTCTTTGAACACAGTGAGTTACACTGGAAAAATGGATCTGGAGATCTCAGGAACTCTGATTGAAAAAACTCTTGTTGGCCTGCTGTACAGCATGTTAAAAGAGCTGGCATCAATTGTGAGATAAATCAAAAAGTCCTTTTAAAATAAAGAACCACATAAAGTAAAGAGGCAGTTAAATGATACCAATGTCCTGCTAGTCTCTAGATGCCTAGTATTTACAGGATTTATAAAGACTTTAAATAAATTATTATAATACAGGGTATATACACATGTATGTATGTATGTATGTGACATACAGTGCATGCCTGCACAGTGGGTATACATCAGTATGGACTAATACGCTTATAGTTATAAATTTTCTCATGAAAAGAGCTGGACACTACATTTATTGAGTGCAGAGTTGCAGTGTTTAGTTGATGAATCGATTAGTTAATTAAAAGAAATTGAATTAGCAATTACTTTGATAACTAATAATAATTCAAATAATTGTACAAAAAGGCCAAATATTTGATGGCTCTTGTTTATCAGATGTAAGAATTTGCTGCTTTAAGTAAAATGACTGTTTGTTGGAAAAAAAACCCAACACATTTGAGGATGTTACATTTTGGCTTTAGAATACTGTTCCATTGTTTTCTGTTTTATACACAAAACGATTATTTGATTAAGTAACTTAAAAGTACACTTGATTACAACTTCCAAGAACTCTGGCAGGAGTTAGCTGGATGCTTTCAGACTTTCTCAGTGTTAACTAATGTCAGGTCACTGTGGGTGAGGGGTGGTACAGAAGTTATGGTGTAGTACTGAAGTTCAGCACCAAGGACAGTCCCATTGCAGCCAAAGTGTAACCCCTGTAACACTCTCTTTTGTACCGGACATGACAATTGCTGGAATGAACCAGACACCAGTCATTTCAAAAGCTAAACTACACTGTAGTGTAAATAAACTGCCCATTCAGCTGGAGAAAATCTGCCCCAATTTCCCCCACCATGACAAGTTACCTCATTAATTTCCTCACAAAATCTTCGTACTGATCCAAGAGAGGCGAGATCCAGGTGTTTGATGACCACCTCCCCCTGGTCTGGTCCCGCTTGTTTCTTAATGTCCTGAGCTGCCTCCTCGGCGCTCCGCTGGTCCCGACAGGCCATGATGACCCGGGCTCGGAGCTTCAGGAGCTCTGCGGCCAGGGCCTTGCCTATCCCGCAGTTAGCCCCGGTCACGATGACTGTCTTTCCCCGCATGGTGTCGGCTGGATACCGGAGCAGCTTTCCGGCTTTCTGAGCGGGGAACAAACGGCGCATAACGTATAGGACCCCTCCGCCGACAACAGCGGCAATTAGCACCGCAGTCGACATGAAAGCGGGGACCGGTCACAGGTCAGTGGGGACAAGCGTACTGGATGGGTGGTACAGTGTATTACGTTTCCAAGTTACAAAATTACCCCGGAAATAATTACTACACAAGTTTGTTAGCGTAACCAGCAATAGCTTTACACTATATATTGTAGGTATTATTTTATGATATTTTTATTTTTTCAAAACAAACATACAACTTTAATGAACCTACTGAAAGTAAACAGTTCAGCTGTCAAATAGTTCAACGGTCGCAAAGCAGCAATGTAGCTAATACTAGCAAGCTAACTAAGCTAGCCATGTTAGCTACTTCTCGGATACCCTCAAACTACTTCCGGTGTATTTTCGTAACTGAACCATATATACAATGTAGTAATTGCAGCATTACACCCGTTTAAAATGTTTCTGCACATAGAGGGCATTGTACATGCTTTTATTTTTAAATGCGTAGGATATCAGGGTTGTTCAGTTTAGTGAAAATAGCCACAACTAATGATTATTTTCTGATAGTCTTTCCACAAGCTCTTTAAATTACATGCATCAACCACTAGGTGGAGCCATCTGAGCACAAAGGTATGGCAACAAGACAAGTCAAAAAGTTTAACATTATGCCGACAAAAAGAGGCTTGTACAACTACATCTTCTGTCTATCTATCTATCTATCTATCTATCTATCTATCTATCTATCTATCTATCTATCTATCTATCTCTGTCTGTCTGTCTATCTAAATATGGACAATAAAAAAGCCTGAGCTTGCTCAGTATTGTGTATCCTTTGGTTGCACACAAGGCAAGTCATTGAAAGTATAGTTGATGGAACATGTGCATCATATGAAATATGAAACATTAAATTAGTATTGTTTTGATTGGTTTGAGCGTTTCCAGTAAGACAGGGTGAAAAGTATTAGTGAAACTGCTCAGGAAGAGGTTAGATGTGTTTTCTATTTGTCTTTTAGTATCATCAAATGCCTTGCTAGGCTACCCACTTGAAGACATATCAATTAGTGCAGTGATTCACTCACTTCTCCAAGGCCCTTATAGCCGAATGACCCGTGGTTAGGTGGAATGGAGCCTGTAAACTGAGACTGAGAGTGGACCCCATGCAGGCTATCACTGAGGTGTTGATCCTAATTACTGAGAAGTGGCTAGCAGTAGATTTCCCCTGCTATGTTGTTGCATAGATGAACTCAGAGGCTAGCATTATTGCCCAGTAGACTTGTTCTTGTGACTGTGTTTGAGGGGCTCTTGGCATGAGTGTTGGTTTGTTCAAACTCAAACTGTGCATTCATTTCATCAACGATGGTTCTGAGTTAGTTAATCAATTTTTGGATGTGAATAGTGTAGCAACTAAAGATATTTTCTCAAATATTGTAGGCTATATGACAAAGAAAAGCATCAAATTCTTATGTTTAAGAGGCTGGAATCAGAGAATGTTTGTGATCTTTGCTTAAAAAAAACAATTATTCTATTATAAAAAGAGTTGCTGGCTTATTTTCTGTCAGTTGACTAATTGATTAATAAACTGTTCTTAATTAGTATTTTTTTTAATAAATTTCCAGAATAAGCAATTATACCTAATCTGTGGTGCAAACTAAAGGGTTTGTACCTTTGATCCCAGTCTGACATGAATTATTTTCTGTGGTAGGATGTCATAATACTGCAGTACTGAAACTTACCTGGCAGAATTGTATTGCATTTATTATATCCCATTTAAGGTAGACTACTTTTAATTTACAGTCTGTCTTTTGTGAAGTCGTGTGCGTACTTCTACACATCTTGTAGCCAAATATGTTGTAGGCAGTTGGGATTTATTGTCTGACTGTTGCGTGAGATTCATAATTAATTGTTTCAACTTGACACTCATACGTTGCTCCGAGATTACACAGAAACGATGTATCAAAGTCTTAGAAGCTTTCGTCAAATTACTTCACTTCCTCTTAGCTCGCTGTGCCTACTGTTGTGTAATACCTCCCGTTTATTTCAAGGTTTTCTTCAGTTCCCGTTATTTGGTAAAGAGACAGACTTCGTGGGGAAATGCGGTGCAGTGTGGGGCGCAGTCTGCCATTACAGTAGCGTAACGGCGATTTTAATTTTATCTAACGGGTCTGGATATCTGACGGCTCTCAATGTATCTTAAAAGGGGCTTTATTTGAGTCCTGGTAATAGGATGAAAGAAATGTATCCGTCCCTAGCCATATTTATTCTGTTTTTAATCTCAACCACTTGTAAAGGTAAGTAATACTTTTATATTTGGTATTTCTTGTAGTGGATAAGGCTTAATATTAAAATGCACAGGTTCTGACTGGTCAAATTCAGTTGTTGGAGTTCTGGGAAATGCTCGTTTTGTTTTGGTTTCATAACATAATGATCACTATGGTTAACATGGGGTAATAAACAGGGATCAGCTTTGAAAAACAATATATAGGCTACTACTTTAGTTTTTTGGAATGATATTGCAAGAATTTCAAATATTAAAACATTTCTTGTTTGAATGTAAATGCAGGTCTGGTTCTATCAGGCAATTACATGTGTCTAAAAAACTATTACAGGATATAAACATAACGTAATGTAGTCCTCTTTGATATTCTTTCTACGGGTTGTGCTGTAGCTTTTTAGTTAACATATTTTATAACATATTTTTGAATACTGCAGTACTGAAACATACTTGGTAGAATTGCCAAAAGGAACATTGCAACAAAGGAACAACTTTTGCTGCAGATGTTGTTAACAGATTCAGTTTTGTTGCTCATGATTGTTGGAAGGATTCACCAGTTTTTATTACAACAGATGAAAGCAGGAATAACACAGGGAGAAACACAGGGGATCAGAGCGAAATGCAGATGGAGAGATGCAAAGACAGACCTCTAATGAAGTCTGCCGCTTCAGTCAAACAAATGGCTTATGAGAAAATGAGACAAGCAGGGGTCAAAATCAGTGAAGGCAGTCCAAAATAGCCAAACAGATTGAATTATCTCAATTCCCCATATAATGGGGAAAAGCCCAAACACAGAGAAGGCAGCAAGAATCAGTGAACCAGGATTGAAGCACTCAGTAATAAACATACTAGATGCTCACAGGAACATAACATGATGTTCTGGCAACTGAAAAGTGGGAAGACTGGGGCACCGTGATGGCTCACCTGGTAGAGTGCATATCACTTTGGCTCAATCCTTACCGCAGCGGCCCGCTTTGGAATCCATCTCGGGGTCTGTGTTGCATGTAAAAGTGTAAAAATGACTAATGAGATACAGTGTGTTAATAAGTTAGTTTAAGATGGAGTCAGGCTAGCTGTTTCGTCTTGTTTCTAAACAAAGATAACCTTCTGCTGGCTCCTGCTGCTTAGGGGCAGCTAAGTCTTGGCAAGTGAATAAACATATTTCCTAAAATATCAAACTACCCCTTTAATGTAATGTTGCGTTACATCATAAGGAATTTCAGTTACATTTTCAAATGTTGAATAACGTTATCTTTTTTCCTGTAGGCCAGCAAGCAAACACCTGCAATGTTGCCCCTAAAGATCAGTACATTGAAGTGGGATCTGATACTGAGATAGTGTGTGAGACTTCATGTATCCGGGGCAACATCTATTGGACACTGAACAACATACGCATCAATGAAAGCTGGTCAAACACTATCAACTCCTCCCACACAAAACTGTCACTGAAGAACTTCACTCACCACAGTGCTACATTGCAGTGCCACAGTGCAGATACTCGCCAAGTCCTTGGAGGCACCACCATCAGAACCTACAGTAAGAAATTATTTGTGGTACTTATATCGTGACATTCTGGCTGTTGATACCTGCAATAAGATGAAATATATGTTACTGGTTACTTGCTTTTTTCACAGCAAAACCCAGCAAGATATCATGCATGTGGCATTATGATAATCAGGAGGATGCTGTTGTACCACAACTGTTCACGTGCAACTGGGAGCATCAGAATAATTCTTCACTGAAAATAAGCTACTCTGTGCTGTGAGTAGTTTTCCTTTGTTTGTGTAAGAATTATTGCAGAAATATTTATTTTCTCTTGTTGGTTTTTATACTTAATATAAAACATGTATTTCTTTCAGTGTCTCTTCGTCACAAGTTGAAATCTGCAACTCACATGTAACCACATGCACATCCAGAGATATAGATACAAATGATAAAATACATTTCATGGGGAATCTCATTGTTACTGTGAGAGCTCGAACTGCGGCTTGGGAAGCTTACTCCGACCCTCATGAATTTGACCCCTATAGCATATGTAAGTAACATGAAGTAAATTTTATTAAAAAATGTCTTTGCATTTTAACATTGCACATTTCTGCATTTTAATGTGCTGATTGTATTCCCTCAGTGAAACTGATCCGTCCACAGTTAAAGGTAACTGTCTTGTCTGATCATCTGCTGGTTAAATGGAATTCGCCAATACCCCAAAGAGAGAGTCACTGTCAAGTCAAATTTGCCAAGGTATGTCATTTTAATTACTAAAGACAACTGTTGGTCTCAGATGTATTTGCTGGTAGCAACAATTTCACTGATAGTAATCACAAATCAGAGAAACATGACCATAAATTTCATCATCCCTCAGGCCAGAAAGAAACAAAGCATCACACAATAACACGGTAATCAATGCAGCAAACTTATGCCTACAGTTCATTAGAGAAAACCTAAAAAGACTTAGTAAATTAGCAGATACCTAGAATGAGCTTCTTGCTCTTTTATGAATGTTAAAATGACTCAAGAGAACCAATTACCACTACATATCTGTGTCATATAAACAAGCTTTTTAGGCATATCCCTGCTAAACCAGAAACAGTGTATTGAGTCACAGTCATTGTATTGTAGTCATCAACCCACAATTGCTTGCAGCTGATCACAGGGCTATTTTGCTTTTAATTCCAGGTTTGAACAGTAGTCCTGTTCTCTCATTTTTGGCTTTAGTTGAGACCAAAACTGTATAGTTAACTGCCAAAATATATAATAGATAAAGGTACCTGACAATATCTGCTTGGACACAGATTTAACAAAATGGTGGCTATAACAATGTCAGTTAAAATGCAAGTTGGCGTTGCTATGGCAACAAAATGTTCAACTAAAAACCAACCATGCTGGCAGAACATTGCTGATAGATAGATAGATAGATAGATAGATAGATGGATAGATGGATAGATAGATGGATAGATGCTTAATTTGTCTCCTAGGGGAAATTAATGTGTCCATTAGCTCATTGTTGATAATAATAATGATGAAAACAGTTAATAATAAATAAACAATAATAATTAGATTGGTCCACTTCCTTTGGCTGAGGTGTTGTATAGCCTGATGGCAGTGGGAACTGTGAAACCTTTTTCTTGTGAAATTGTTTCTTAAATACCCCTCATGGCTAATTGAGGCTATTTTTGTTTCCCTTTTCTCTTCCAGGCTGTTAGTGATGGAACTCCAGAGGTAAGAGCCACAATTTTCCCTTGTACAGGAATTTCAGTTTTCATTGTCGTATATGGTGGTGTTGACGTGAACGCTTTGATAACTTTGATATGACACTAAAGAAAGCTTTCAAAGCACAAAATGTTTGTTTAAAATCTGCCTTAGTAAATTAGTATAACTTTGATGGTGAAAGATTATTTCTTCAGACCTGGACCTTGTAGATCTTCCTGTATTTGAATGAACGTTTCTAACTGATATTTTTCCTTTGCTTTTTAATAGAAGGTGGTCAATAAGACTCCAAACTCTATGGACAAGGTGGAGCTCATTGAAAAAATGGAATCCTGCTGTACCTACAAAGTTTCAGTCCGCTGTGCTTTAGTCAAGGCCCCCTGGAGCGACTGGAGCCAGGAAAAGACGGTTCTGACGAAACTAAATGGTAAAAACAATGTTCGCTCAAAACTGCATGCCACAATGAAGAAATCTGGACCGGTATTTTTCCAGCCACTGAGAATGAATTACATCACCATTTATACTCACTCAGAACCATTAATTGAAGTTAATGATAACGTATGATAATTCGATGCACTAAGAAAGGAAATTAGAGATGGACATCAGAACTGACAAAAGTGCATTATTATCTACAAATATGATTTGAAATAGCTCCAAAGTTTGAGTTTATAAATGTGAATGTAACTTGGCTGCAACAATAATTAAGCAATGATATGGCCCCTCTTTGGATCTGCTCTCATGGTCCTGGTGCCCATGAAGATCAGAAACCATACATTCATAACAACTTAAAGATGTTCATACTTTGTTACCAGTTTAATTAGAAATACTTCCTTATAGGTTTGAAGCTATTATATATTCTAGCTATTCACAACAGTGACAGGTCCAAGGAGGCCACTAATTGTAAATGGAGAATTTTCACTAAAGTTTCTAGTGGGAAATTATTGAACATGCGTCATGTTGGCAACAGTCATAGTTACCCAAATCAGAACTGATAGAGATCAGTGGGAGCTGCTAAAATCTGACACATTTAAGAGGCATGGTGGGGTAGACTTCAGTGAGATTTTGCACGTAATACAAAGTCAAATGTTGAGTGTATGTGTGACTCACATTGAATAATGTCAACCAGAGAACTGATAACAGATGGTTCCAGATACTCATCACTGAGTTAATAATTTGTAGTTTACATGTTGGGTTTAGATTCGCACGATCTTGTGTTACTTTCCGGAATTGGTACGATGACAGAAAACCAAAAACAAGAATGACCGAGAGAAATTGCAGCGATTTCCATAGTTGAAAGCTGTTTTGGTCTGTGTTAGTTATGAAAAGTGGTCATGTTCTGTTGTTTTTGGCTTTAATTTATACCAAAACTGTTGAGTCAATTGTTATTATATTTCTCTATGTGTATTCCATTCTAACTGTTTTGAACATATTTTAACAGAGAGTGATATCCAACTGCAGCTGTGGAGAAAGGTGTCTAAACAGAAAAATGGAGTTAGAAAAGTTTATGCCATGTGGAGGGTAAGGAAGGCTCTCAATGCTGCCTTTACACAGTATATTGAAATTCATTTCCTTCATTCCCAAACTTGTAATTCAATTCATTTCAATTTCCAACTTTACAATCTACATTTCCTAAGAGACATGCTCCCTGCATTACTTCTTGACCTAAAGTGCTTCAAACTGTCTACACAGGAGATTCCTCCAACATGCCAAGACACATTTACCTACGCTATAAAACAGATTGCCTACAAGGAACACACAACTGAAGTCAGTTATACGGATACTTTGTGCAGCAGTTCACCTTGTGTTGTTGATGTGAACCAAGAAGCTCACAGAATAATTCTCACAGTCTTTCGTAATGAAACCCTGCTGGCCAAGGACTCCGTTTATGTTCCAGCCGTTGGACAGAGTGAGTTTTAATGTCATTGATTTTATCTTTTTTAATGGTTAACAATTTATGAATCTTCGCCCTAATGCATGTTAGTGGTCCGGTATCAATCAGTTCTTCTTTTCACTTGATATCACTTGGCAGGCCTCCCTCAAGTTACTGAAATCCAGACTTCAACCATGGAAGGTGTTATTCTGGTCAGCTGGAAGCCTCCTGTTCAGCCTGTCAGAGGTTATATGATCGACTGGACCCACAATGGAAATCAATATAACTGGAAGGAGAGCAAATACACTAACACATCACTGATTGGTAGGTTAGACAACAGGCATGAAATGGTAGATGGATGTCAGAAAGAGAGATGGATATTGAATAAATACTTTATGGGTGTCCACTTGAAAACCTGGAATGAGTGAGCCTTGTGTATGAGTCATTATCGAAACCCATTGCTGATTTGTGGTCTGTGACTTGTCTTTCATCATCTAGACGTATCAAATAATGGATGGAGTGGTGGAGAAAGATGTTTAAAAGCTGCTCTATAATGCATTTACTGGAAAGATCTTAACATTTCCAAATGAGTTTTCAAGAACTATTACTCACTCTGGAGAGATGTCAAATGCCACAATTTGTTGTTTTGCTTTTCTGTTTAAATCAAACAAAGGAACAATGGTAGGAAGTAACTAAGTACACGTAATTCAGTTTAATAGAATTCAGTTCACTTTACTTGAGTATTTCCATTTTATGCTACTTTATACCTCTACTCCAATGCATTTCAGTGGGAAATGTGCTTTTTACTTCACTTTATTTTACAACTTTACTTTTCAGTTACAGTTACAGTTACTTTTCAGATAAAGATTTTATTAAAACGATTTGATGACATGCTTACATAAAATACAATACAATAACGTGGGACATCTGTTCACATTTCAGATTTTGCCTCTAAACTTGTCAGATGGTTTCACTTAACTACAGTAACTGCTTGAGACTAAAGCTATGCTAGCAGCTGTGTCAGGCTTTATTTTGACACTGCAGTGCTTTGAGTGAAATGCTAACATCAGCATGCTAACATGCTCACAGTGCCTCTACCATTGTTCGATGTTATGGTTCTCACATTCCATTCATGTGTTCTCAAAATATCACAGTAGGTATATAATGTTTACCTTAACGGGAAAGTCAGGGGATTGCTTAAGTCAAAAGGCTTTGTCCTCTTGTGACCATGAATGTCTTGACAAAATTTCATGGCAATCTATTGGTGGTCAATGGTTTTTGAAATATTTCAGTTTGGACTGAAGTGGTACCAGCATTTCCATCCGTCTGATGGTCAGTCGGTCTACCACTTCGGCCATCAAATTTTGTGAAAATGGAAGCTAAAAAGCTGAGCAGGACCATTAATGGAAAGAGAATTAGATCAGTGGCTTTAATGTGTTTGCCTCTTCCTTGTAATAGACTTCCAGAACTTTCCTTTCCTTGCAGATCTCTTGGATAAGAAGCCATACAATATCACAGTAACTCCCCTCTTTGATAACAAGACAGGTTATGACACAGAAGCTCTTCAAGTCTGCTCCACAGTAGGAGGTAAAACCATTCTTTAGACTTTTTCATGATTCTCAAAAAATATATATTTTTTAAATTTAAAAACATGTACTTTACAGATCCAGGGAATATCACTATTGTCAATGTTCAAGCTTACGACAAAAGTGCCAATGTACGCTGGAATACAAAGTCACAGGAGGTATGCAGTGATGCTGTAATCAACTACACAATCTTCTACAGTACTCAGAAAGGACCAACGCTCAGTAAGTCCACCACAGTCTTGTATGAAGTTTTCACATGGATTGAAGTGATTTATTTCCTTTAACATTATGATATTTCTGTGGTTTTCTTTCAGATGTTACCGTAGATAGCACAAAGCATGACATATTTTTAAAAGATCTGAATCCAGGCACCCAATACAGCGTCTACATCAATGCCACAGCTCTTACTGGAACTACCAAAAGCAGTGAGAGGCTCTTTGAAACCAAACGATTTGGTAAGTACGCTGTAAGGGCAGAGGAAATTGCTGGTTTTTGCAGAGCAAATGTTATACATCTTATTCCTAGTTCTATGAGTACAGCTGCAGCCCTCATAAATGTGTATATTTCCTTGGCTGACAGGCTGCAGGGTTTCACCATTAGAAATCTTAGAGTTGCACAGGCTAAGGCATAACAGTGAAATGTCAAGATTTGAACAGGTTGTTGAAGAAGAGTGCTCCACCACCTGATAGTAGTATTCTGTCCTGATAGAGGAGGACAGTTTTTCTCACAGCACCTGTTCAAACAATGACTTGCAGACATGGCTTTTAACAACTATGAAGGCAGCACCTCCACCCACATCATGTTTGCGTACCATGATATGATTATCTGCTGATGAGCCAGCAAAATGTCTGAAGCTGCACCAAGGGGCTTGTTTTGCTTTACTGTATCCAGGAGTAGCTTGGTTTGGTAATACAGGATGAGCCTAGGAGAAGTTTGATACCTTGCTGTGTTTAGTTTGGCTTTAGACATCAAACAGAGCACATATACTGGTGATACATGCCTGCTTTGGCATGTCAGGTAGAGATACTCACAGCGGCAGCCTTCCTTTAAAGTGAGACAAATTTTTAAAAGAGAAAATAACACTCTCCCTCTTACAAGCAAAAATTTGAACTTGCATTACTTGGTCTGGTAGGACCAAGCTTATGGTCAAATATTGATCATTAGCTAACATTATTATCCCCTTTGGCTACACACCCTGCTCTAGGTTCTACATTAGTGTTAAATGTTTTTAACACCCCAGACCTGGTGGGCCACAAGGGAGGGAAGATGCTTTGTGGTCACATTCACAAGTTCCAGTCAAGGTCATTAAATAGGCACCACCGTTTTTTTTCCCTTCTGGCAAACTGTGGCAGGTATCTAGGAGTCCAAACAAACAAGAGACTCCTGGATGCCAGCAGCCGCAAGCTGAGTTTTAGTGTTATGAGATCTGGGAAGAATAAGAGGTAGTGCTGAGCAACAGAAGAAAATGAAGCCTGTGTAAACCAGAACTGATGTTTTCTGTCTAAATATATGTTTGGGATTGTAAACCAGTATGACTCTTAACTCTCTAAAACTTGTTCATTTCTGAAATTACATGAGACTGTCCAGGATTTAAAAAAAACAAAAACAAAACATATGAAGTAAGTGTTATTGGATGAACTGTGGCAGGATTTACTCTCCTGTCATATTATTGGCTGCATGATTAATCTTAACCACTAGTTTACTCACATTATTACTCATATTACTCACTTACTACTACTACTCACTCAAATGTTATCTTGAGTAACACAGAGATCATAAAAACCATCTTTGTAACTTTCATTTGCTCATATCATCATGAATCAATCATGAATCATCATTGCTTTTTCCAAAGTTGAAAGTGTGTTTTATGCAGGAATAACTTGCAAACATTTCATAGAGGTTTGAGGAGGTGAATCATTTATTGTGCTCAACGAACTGCTGCAACATGATTTATTTTGTCTTATGTCTATGATAGATCCGAGGCTCCTCACAGTGCTCAGTGTCTCTGGAAGCATCGTTATAGTTCTTGTGTTGTCTCTTGGATTATGCTGTGCCATTCAGTAAGTTTCAATCTTTCAGTGTCTGTTATGATATGATAAGGATTGATTTCAAATGAAAACTTTGAACCAAGGGCACAGTGTGATTAACCCTTAATTCATGACCATGAAACCTTAAAATTTGTTTCTTAATGATGGTTCTCAATCTGCTTTGTAGGTGGAAGAAGTTCAGGGAGAAGCCGGTGCCTAACCCAGGCCTCAGCTCTCTGGCGTTGTGGCCATCTGCAGATCATCAAAAGGTGAAATGGGAGGAATGAATTGCATCATTATAAAAGTGGCTGAGGCTGTGAGATGATTAAATTATATCAAATATTATATTATATATAGTTATATAGTTATTTTTGATCAGGGGAGGAAAATATAATATAAGTGTTTCTTTATACAGGGGGTGGTCATGAAAAAGTATAAATAAATTGCAGTTATATTTATCCATGATCCACTGGGCCACAGCCACCTGAGGAGATTTTGACACGACACAGTTGAAACTAAATATCGTTGTGGTTTTGGACTCTTCTTTGAACGCAGTTAGCAAGTCGAACATTCCATCTAGGGAAAAATACCCACAATGTTTTTAATCATGGAATTCAAATTCCAGCCAAATTCAACCCCAAATTCTCACAAAAAAAAGCATTATTTTCTCTATCATTTTCCATGGGCCTCCTGGTTTTTACGGATATTTTAATGTTCTTCATGTCTGTTTCCCTTCCGTTTGTTATATAATATGTTTCATTTTTGTTAATTAAAAAAGTTCAGTAATAAAGTTCAATAATAATTCTAATAATGATGATAATTCCTAGATAGTATATTGAGGAAATAATTTCACTGTCAAAGGTTGCTTTGGCCCCATTGGTAACCATGTCTGTGTACAGTTATTTTGCTACAAACACCTTGGTCACTTTTCCTCTGGTTGATCAATGGTGTTTCATGATGACGTCTTTGATAAGAGTTAAAATCTGAACATATGGTTTTAGATATCATGATTCTGTATCCTAGGTTTTTCCCATTGAAAAAACAACTGAATTATCTTCAGTTTTCAAACAGCAACACCTTATGTCTTTTTATTCTTCCTGTCTGTGTGAATGTTTTCCACAGGGGATCTGCCAGGCATTCACTAATCCATCTGAAAGTGTCTATGACCAGGTTTACACAGAGGAACTTCAGCGAACGTCCAACCCTCCACTTGCAATAGGTTATAACCCAGCCATTGACCAAATTGAGGAATACACTGACCCAGCCATAGTTCTTGCACCTGACATACAGAATGAGAAACCAGCTGAACTTGTACAGACACAGCATCTGGTTTCTTCTGGGGAATCCACAGCCTTAATATCTTCCGAGAACAGCACATTTAATCCTTATCGAAGTCAGAGTTCTGTGGAAACTGCTCCTCTTAAGATGAGTAAACAATATAAGCGCCTTCCAGCAAAACAAGAAAAGACAGCACCAGTGACTGTTTACGTCACTTTGAACATGTTTGAACAAGGTCTGGGTCGGTGAGAGCAGTTTAAACAGACCCATAACAACCATCCAAGAATAAAGATATGCCAGTATATCAGCTCTGAATAAAGCTCCTTGGTTTTGTCCAGTTTGGAATGAAAGTAAAGAAAAATAATTATAATATCATCACCCAAGTAATAAAAATGTGTAAATAAAAGTACATTTTGCCACTATCTATGCTTTATTGATACAAATATGTTATATTTATGTGTGTAGTAGCAGCTTTTCTAAGTCAAGCTGATGTATATACCTGACGTATTGAGTTAAATGTATATGCCTCTAGCATATATTTCTAACATTCAGTTCTGTAAACAAAAATGTTTTTGTTTTATGTTGAGATGATCTTTTACTGAGTAATCACACACCAAGATAATGCAGCAGAGACTGAAATAATGTAACATATATGTACATGTAGCCTATGGTTTGTAATATATGATAAGTCTGTGACAGCATGCACATGTAAATAGGGAAACTGATATTTCGTTGTAAACATAATATTAGCTATGTATTATCATGGGATTTTCCGTTGGTTATCGCTTATATCCTCACTTGTTAAAAAGTAGTAAACTTGCTTGAGACAATAAAGTTGTAACTCACTGCAGTTTTATTTCAACAGCAATAATCTTAAATTTCTTAAATAGCTCAAACTTTATTAAGTACCAAAGGACATTGTGACAAGCTATCTTGCAGCTCAGTGCTCAGTCTGATGGGGAGTCAAGCTATCTACCTCCCCCTGTAGCCTGGTAGAGTGAATGATTTTTGCACATTCATTTCATACTGTAGTTTTTTGAGTTATAATAGTAGCTACTACAGGTGACCACTATGAGCCACAGGTTATTCACTCTAACTGATGTGACACACACACACACACACACACACACACACACACACACACACACACACACACACACACACACACACACACACACACACACACAATTATGTTGGCTTAAAATCTTTTGATTGACACAATCAAACACAATATGGAATATGTTGATTTAAAAAAATCACTTTTTTTGTAGCCAGCATTGCAGTTCAGCTTCAGCTTTTCCAGAAGCCAGTTATGTCAGCAATGTCTTCAGAAATTGCATGGTCTAGTTGATGTCCCTTTTTTCTAGAGGGTATCTGAAGGGATGATCCTAAAAGATAACTGTAGGAGTTTTCTAGTTTTGTGTCCTCTCTCGTGTATACCCGCAGGGGGCAGTAAGACGCAGGAAGTCATCTGAAATACAAACATTAACAACCAGGAGAAGTATGCTAGCTAGTTTAGCCCCAAGCTAGCTAGCTAGCTCGATTGGTGACTGTAGTGGATCAAAAGAAAACTGACTCGATATATAATACCGTGTCCGGGATGCTGACATGCGGAGAGTGGAAATAACATATGTGTCGTGTATTTGCCTGCCGGCCCGTCAGGAAGTTGACCGGGCTTAAATTTGTTGGATGATTCACTAGAATTAGTAGCTGAAGGCCCCTGAGTCCGCGGTGCTTGGGTGAACGACAACCGGACATTGCCGCGATCTCAGAGAGGGAGCATCAAGCCACAGGCTAGCTATTTACCAACGACACATTACAGCAAAACCTCTCCTGGACATGTCACACAACGGACCTCCTCCTCGATGGCGGAATTGTCCGAGAAGAGGACAACCTGTGGCAGGTAAGCGAAAAACTAATAATCCAGTTAACTAGCGTTAGATTAACCTGTTTCATGTACGTAGTGCTGTTGCTGCTAACGTTAGCTGCGTGCCGTGTTTATGATGGTAGAGCATGACTTGTCTGAAACCTTATAACCTGTTTAACCACCTATTTAATTTCTAATTTCTAATTTCTCTAATATGACAAACAGCGTGTAGCTGTCTTGGTCCATTCTCAGTCGCACAAAAAATGTTAGGTTAGCATCACAAAATGGCAATGTTACTGAGCAGTGTAGTTTTAACATAAGAGCAGCTTATTTAAATGAAGCGGTGGTTGGTGTGAATTGGATTGCCGACTTAATTGAATGACACCAGTGAATGTATTAATTGCAAACTTTTATTGTCTGTGTGTACGTTTGCCATTTATTGTGAGGCAAACTTAATTTGCCATATTTTTAAATGGAGTTTAGTATGACACTGTATTCGGGCGCGCGCTGCTTAGCCGAGTTGGAACCTGTGGCTAACGGGTTTTCAAAGCTCAACTCTTCGCAGACAAACGTTGTATATGCCAGCTAGTAACTCTTATTTACATTTGAACTAAAGCGGATATTGTGGGCTATGATTTATTCATTTATTTCGCAACAGGAAAAAGTGCTTTAGGAAAGTGTTGCTGAGTTGGCTAGCTTCGTTGTCGAAGCATCACGTGTCAAAACAAACCAGAGCCTGTAGCGTGGTGTGCAGATGCTGTGTAGTGGTCGTTATCCATGAAACCCTGTGTGTCTGTACATGTTTACTTGAACACCGCATTGCCAGACTCATCTCTACTTCACGTTTGCTTTACACGAGTGCATTAATTTAGACAGGTATTCCTTTTCACGGCACAAATATTACTTTTAAGAAAGGATCTATTGTCAAGATGGATCCAGAGTCTTATTGAATATTAACTTAGTTAGATATCACCATATATACGAATTATTTGCTGTTTCATGTTTGATTTAACACGACCACAATTCACCTCGATTTTTACTTCTACTATTACAAACAATATTACCAAGGCAAAGTAGGCAAGTTCCTAGGAGCCCTAGACTCCCGTGCTTACCTCATATTAAGGTCTACATATTTTTATGAATCACGAATTTGTTTGAAATTTTTACTAAAGTGCAATATCAGCAATGTCAGGTCCTCCATCTTCCACCTGGTCTCATTCAGTTTACTATTATGGAAAACAAGGGAAAATAGCAAGTATTCACATATTAAAAACTGGAATATTTGTCAAACTTGTTGCCAGTTCTTTTCAGGTAATCATTTAATCAAGTAATCCTTTCTGGGTTCCAGTGGAAATAATCAAACTGCCATATGTAACCACGGTCAAATCCTTACTCTTCGGACCCCTAGAACATTAATTTTGCTGTGACCTGCGACCACACTGGATTTGTCAAGTGATGTTTTGATTCGGTATGATAAAGAGTGATGATCATGGCATCTGTGGACAAAATGTTACCATGTATTAGACTGGGCATACTAGGAGTGCAGAGTTTTAAATTAGAAGACCACTGGTTCATTGCTTGTGTTTTCCCTCATAGGAAAATTCCTGCCGATGAAAACAATGTTGGGTCCCAGATATGATGACCAAGTTGCAGAGGAGAACAGGTTTCACCCGAGCATGCTGTCCAACTACTTAAAAAGTCTCAAAGTAAGTAACTCCATGATGACTGACTGAAGTTCTGAGCAAAGTTTAGAAATTGAAAAACCCATGGCACACCTTGTCCTTTTTTGTCTTTCTCCAGGTGAAAATGGGTTTGCTCGTGGATTTGACGAACACTACTCGCTTTTATGACCGCAACGACATTGAAAAAGAAAGCATAAAATATGTGAAGCTTCAGTGTAAAGGGTATGAGTGAAGACACTGTCATGACTTAAACTAATTTGTAAGATGTTGCTCATTCAGAGGTAATCTAAAAAGTCTGATGTCACTCTGTTTCTTTTAGCCATGGGGAATGCCCTTCGAAAGAGACGACTGCAATGTTTATCACGCTCTGTGAACACTTCGTAGAGAAGAATCCCACAGAATTGATAGGTAAGGAAACCATAACTTAACAGTGACATCACTTACATAGGAACCTCTCCTTTCACAGATTTGATAGTCAGAAAAGTTGGTATGGCTGTGAACATGTTTTTATATCAAAGCCTTGGGACATCGTGAATTTACAGTGATATGAAATGACAGAATCAAAATTATTACTACTATATTTACTCTGTGTAACGTTTTTGAATCTGAGGTTGAGGCAATAATAGCCGTTACTACATGTTTTTATTTGGCGCCAAGTTTGTTCCAAGTTTTTGAATATTTGAAAATATTTTGGAAAAAGATGAACTGATCAGTTCCCCTCCCAATGAAGACTCAACCAAATATTTTTTTCTCATATAATGGATGTGAGCAAGATGTCCGAAATCAAAACAGAACTTTTCTTATTTCTTTGAAACATTTCTGAGTTTGTTTAATCATTAATCAACAGAGGATTTAGTAGTAAAGATTTAGTAATACTGTATGTAGGTTAATATTAGACAATAGTAGACTTTATTTCCCAACTGATTTTGAATGGCCAAAATCACTGTTGTTCAGTGAAAGAAAACAACTGGATTAGTGTTTCATGTAGTTTAATGTTAAACATTTAGAACAGGAGAAACCCTCTGCCCGTCTCTGTCCTCAACTCCTAAAGATTATATCAGTGTGACTGAAACCCATTAAGTTTTATGTGTATTGCCTCTGCTCAGTGAAGAATATGAAGATATATAAAAGTAGACTTTAAGTATAATATTTAAGTATAAAAACCAGCTGGCACTGTGAATGACTTTGCACTGTGCATTATTTTCTTCAACCTGTTGGAAGAGGTTTTGCCTCAGCAATAACTCATTTATATTTCTTGTGATGTTTTCCACCCCCCAGTTTTCACTCCACATTCAAGCCTCCAGTGATCACACTCAGTGTGAATCTTAATGCCTGAACAACATCTCAAAAACCTTGAATCTTAAGTAGGAGAACCTGCAGCACTTTTGCTTTATTTCTAAAAACATTACAGTAGATCTCTTATTGTGCAGTTAACACCATTTTACTGTCTCCTGTAAGGGGCTGTTCTTTAGTGCATTTCTGAGTATGCAGGCTTTACTATGGTGTGACCGTGATATTCCTATAGGTAGCCTAAAGTGTCCTTTCATGCTATGTAGTTTAGTTCACAGGGACTATACAGTATATCACTAATACATTTGCTCTGGTGGCTGTGTAGTATCCTACACTTTCTGGCAGCTATATTTATTTCTAAAAGTTTGTAAGTAACATCAATATTAACATCATGATAGTATTATAAATGATGGCCTTAATCCGTTCTCTTGTGTTATTCATTTCTTCCAAATGAGTTCTTTTATGGTTATTTGTGAAGAAATGCCTGTTTTTTATTGGCATTATTCCTGTGATAATATAAATGTATGAATGTTTTTCCTCATTTGTTTCTGGTTTGATTTTAGAAGCTTGAACTAATGCTATT